ACTAGACTATAGACTAGACTATAGACTAGACTATAGACTAGACTATAGACTAGACTATAGACTAGACTATAGACTAGACTATAGACTAGACTATAGACTAGACTATAGACTAGACTATAGACTAGACTATAGACTAGACTATAGACTAGACTATAGACTAGACTATAGACTAGACTATAGACTAGACTATAGACTAGACTATAGACTAGACTATAGACTAGACTATAGACTAGACTATAGACTAGACTATAGACTAGACTATAGACTAGACTATAGACTAGACTATAGACTAGACTATAGACTAGACTATAGACTAGACTATAGACTAGACTATAGACTAGACTATAGACTAGACTATAGACTAGACTATAGACTAGACTATAGACTAGACTATAGACTAGACTATAGACTAGACTAACTAGACTATAGAATAAACTAGGACTATAGACTATAGACTAGACTATAGACTAGACTATAGACTAGACTATAGACTAGCTATAGACTAGACTATAGACTAGACTATAGACTAGACTATAGACTAGACTATAGACTAGACTATAGACTAGACTATAGACTAGACTATAGACTAGACTATAGACTAGACTATAGACTAGACTATAGACTAGACTATAGACTAGACTATAGACTAGACTATAGACTAGACTATAGACTAGACTATCTAGACTATAGACTAGACTATAGACTAGACTATAGACTAGACTAGACTATAGACTAGACTATAGACTAGACTATAGACTAGACTATAGACTAGACTATAGACTAGACTATAGACTAGACTATAGACTAGACTATAGACTAGACTATAGACTAGACTATAGACTAGACTATAGACTAGACTATAGACTAGACTATAGACTAGACTATAGACTAGACTATAGACTAGACTATAGACTAGACTATAGACTAGACTATAGACTAGACTATAGACTAGACTATAGACTAGACTATAGACTAGACTATAGACTAGACTATAGACTAGACTATAGACTAGACTATAGACTAGACTATAGACTAGACTATAGACTAGACTATAGACTAGACTATAGACTAGACTATAGACTAGACTATAGACTAGACTATAGACTAGACTATAGACTAGACTATAGACTAGACTATAGACTAGACTATAGACTAGACTATAGACTAGACTATAGACTAGACTATAGACTAGACTATAGACTAGACTATAGACTAGCTAGACTAGACTATAGACTAGACTATAGACTAGACTATAGACTAGACTATAGACTAGACTATAGACTAGACTATAGACTAGACTATAGACTAGACTATAGACTAGACTATAGACTAGACTATAGACTAGACTATAGACTAGACTATAGACTAGACTATAGACTAGACTATAGACTAGACTATAGACTAGACTATAGACTAGACTATAGACTAGACTATAGACTAGACTATAGACTAGACTATAGACTAGACTATAACTAGACTATAGACTAACTATAGACTATAGACTAGACTATAGACTAGACTATAGACTAGACTATAGACTAGACTATAGACTAGACTATAGACTAGACTATAGACTAGACTATAGACTAGACTATAGACTAGACTATAGACTAGACTATAGACTAGACTATAGACTAGACTATAGAGACTATAGACTAGACTATAGACTAGACTATAGACTAGACTATAGACTAGACTATAGACTAGACTATAGACTAGACTATAGACTAGACTATAGACTAGACTATAGACTAGACTATAGACTAGACTATAGACTAGACTATAGACTAGACTATAGACTAGACTATAGACTAGACTATAGACTAGACTATAGACTAGACTATAGACTAGACTATAGACTAGACTATAGACTAGACTATAGACTAGACTATAGACTAGACTATAGACTAGACTATAGACTAGACTATAGACTAGACTATAGACTAGACTATAGACTAGACTATAGACTAGACTATAGAATAAACTATGGACTATAGACTATAGACTAGACTATAGACTAGACTATAGACTAGACTATAGACTAGCCTATAGACTAGACTATAGACTAGACTATAGACTAGACTATAGACTAGACTATAGACTAGACTATAGACTAGACTATAGACTAGACTATAGACTAGACTATAGACTAGACTATAGACTAGACTATAGACTAGACTATAGACTAGACTATAGACTAGACTATAGACTAGACTATAGACTAGACTATAGACTAGACTATAGGCTAGACTATAGACTAGACTATAGACTAGACTATAGACTAGACTATAGACTAGACTAGACTATAGACTAGACTATAGACTAGACAGAGACTAGACTATAGACTAGACTATAGACTAGACTATAGACTAGACTATAGACTAGACTATAGACTAGACTATAGACTAGACTATAGACTAGACTATAGACTAGACTATAGACTAGACTATAGACTAGACTATAGACTAGACTATAGACTAGACTATAGACTAGACTATAGACTAGACTATAGACTAGACTATAGACTAGACTATAGACTAGACTATAGACTAGACTATAGACTAGACTATAGACTAGACTATAGACTAGACTATAGACTAGACTATAGACTAGACTATAGACTAGACTATAGACTAGACTATAGACTAGACTATAGACTAGACTATAGACTAGACTATAGACTAGACTATAGACTAGACTATAGACTAGACTATAGACTAGACTATAGACTAGACTATAGACTAGACTATAGACTAGACTATAGACTAGACTATAGACTAGACTATAGACTAGACTATAGACTAGACTATAGACTAGACTATAGACTAGACTATAGACTAGACTATAGACTAGACTATAGACTAGACTATAGAGTAGACTATAGACTAGACTATAGACTAGACTATAGACTAGACTATAGACTAGACTATAGACTAGACTATAGACTAGACTATAGACTAGACTATAGACTAGACTATAGACTTGACTATAGACTAGACTATAGACTAGACTATAGACTAGACTATAGACTAGACTATAGACTAGACTATAGACTAGACTATAGACTAGACTATAGACTAGACTATAGACTAGACTATAGACTAGACTATAGACTAGACTATAGACTAGACTATAGACTAGACTATAGACTAGACTATAGACTAGACTATAGACTAGACTATAGACTAGACTATAGACTAGACTATAGACTAGACTATAGACTAGACTATAGACTAGACTATAGACTAGACTATAGACTAGACTATAGACTAGACTATGGACTAGACTATAGACTAGACTATAGAATAAACTATGGACTATAGACTATAGACTAGACTAGACTATAGACTAGACTATAGACTAGCCTATAGACTAGACTATAGACTAGACTATAGACTAGACTATAGACTAGACTATAGACTAGCCTATAGACTAGACTATAGACTAGACTATAGACTAGACTATAGACTAGACTATAGACTAGACTATAGACTAGACTATAGACTAGACTATAGACTAGACTATAGACTAGACTATAGACTAGACTATAGACTAGACTATAGACTAGACTATAGGCTAGACTATAGACTAGACTATAGACTAGACTATAGGCTAGACTATAGACTAGACTATAGACTAGACTATAGACTATCGACTTAGATATAGACTAGACTATAGACTAGAATATAGACTAGACTATAGATAGACTATAGACTAGGACTATAGACTAGACTATCACTATGAACTATAGACTAGACTATAGACTAGACTATAGACTTGGACTATAGACCTAGACATAGGACTAGATAATACTAGACTCGGACTAGGACTATAGACTAGACTATAGAATAAACTATGGACTATAGGACTATAGACTAGACTGATATTAGAATAGACATAGACTAGCCTATAGTACTAGACTATCGCCTAGATATAGACTGACTATAGGACTGACATATAGGGATACTAGCTATATACTTAGGAATATAGACTAGACTATAGCTAGCCTAAGACTAGACTATAGACTAGGACTATAGACTAGACTATAGACTAGACTATAGACTTAGACTATAGGAATAGACTATAGGACTAGACTATAGACTAGATATAGACTAGATATAGGCTAGACTATAGACAGACTAGACAGACTATAGGCTAGACTAGACTAGACTAGACTATAGACTAGACTATAGGACTAGACTATAGACTAGACTACTAGACTAGACTATAGACTAGACTTATAGACTAGACTATAGACTAGACTATAGACTAGACTATAGGACTAGACTATAGACTAGACTATAGACTCGACTATAGACTAGGACTATAGACTAGACTATAGACTAGACTATAGACTAGACTTATAGGACTAGGACTATTAGGACTAGACGTATAGGACTAGACTAAGACTAGGGACTATAAAACTAGACTATAGACGGACTAGACTAGAAGACTAGACTATAGACTAGACTAGACTAGAATATGACTAGACTATAGACTAGACTATAGACTAGACTATAGACTAGACTATAGACTAGACTATAGACTAGACTATAGACTAGACTATAGACTAGACTATAGACTAGACTATAGACTAGACTATAGACTAGACTTAGACTAACTATAGACTAGACTATAGACTAGACTATAGACTAGACTATAGACTAGACTATAGACTAGACTATAGACTAGACTATAGACTAGACTAATAGACTAGACTATAGACTAGACTATAGACTAGACTATAGACTAGACTATAGACTAGACAGCTAGACTAGACTAGACTAGATAGACTAGCACTATAGACTAGACTATAGACTAGACTATAGACTAGACTATAGACTAGACTATAGACTAGACTATAGACTAGGACTATAGACTAGACTATAGACTAGAATATAGATAGCTATGACTAGACTATAGAATAGACTATATACTAAATATAGACTATCATTCTATCTATTTATCAATTTCTTTTATTTAAATTTTTGTTTTTCTAGTCTTCCGTACGTGACATGTTAAGCTGGACATCGGAGGCCATAAGTCGTCCCATGTTGGCGTTGTCACGTGATAAAACCGATAAGAAAATTGCCATAGAACTCTTTAAGTTGGTGCAAATTTATATGGGTGATCGTAAGGCCCGCGCCGGCATGAGTTTAAATTCGGTAGCCATAGATATAATAACAGCCGCTTTGCCACAACAACAGTAAGTGCAAATTAAACGGAAGAAACCTAAAATGTTTATTAATTTTTCTCCATTTCTTACACAAGATTGAGAGATGAATTGTATGTACAGCTATGCCGTCAGACGACAGAGAATCCCAAAAGGGAATCATTAATCCGAGGTTGGGAACTAATGGCCATTTGTTTGTCTTTCGTACCGCCTTCAATAACATTTCAGCCGACTTTATTAAAGTGAGTTTTTAAATTATACTCTCCTAAAAGAACATTTTTTATTTTTCTCTTTTGCTCTCTTTTTAACAGTTATGTCAATCGTCATCGTGACACTACTTATGCTATATCATTTCCCGAGGTGGGCAAATGGCCCATACACGTACAAATATCTCACTATGCCACGGTGTGTTGTAGACGTTTGGATCGTATAGGCAGTCATGGACGTAAACAGGCTAAAAAGCCCACAGAAGATGAAGTGGAACAGGCTAGGGTAGGTTTCCTTATTACTAATTTCTTATTCTTTGGTTTAATTGAATTTTGTTTCTTGGTTTTTTAGAATCAAATTTTACGCAATAGCATGTTTGGTAATACTTTGGAGGAGGTAATGCAATTGCAAAAGGATAAATTCCCATTCCGTAAATTGCCATGGATACAAACTACTCTATCGGAACATGTAAATTAAAAGTAAACTTTAAAATCATTGGCATATTATTAGTTTTTGTTTTTTCAGGTTCTACAACTAAATGGCAAACAGACCGAGGGCATATTCCGTGTTTCAGCTGATGTTGATGAGGTGAATTCTTTGAAAAATCGTTTAGATCGGTGGGATGTTCCTGAATTTAAAAATACTATGGGTAAGTAGCAAGTTTATTGAACATTTTTGTTGAGAGTTTATTAAACTTTTTACAATTTCCTTAGATGCACATGCACCAGCTAGTCTTTTAAAATTATGGTATCGCGAGTTATATGATCCTTTAATACCCGATGAATTATATGATGAATGTGTAAATACCGAAGATCCGGATAAAGCCAAAGCTATTGTTGATAAATTGCCAGAATTAAATAAATTGGTAAATTGTTTAAAAAATTATTTAAAATTTAATTTAATAAGGATTTCCTTTTATTGCTTTGTTTAGGTCTTAACCTATTTAATACATTTCCTACAACAATTCTCCCATCCGGATGTGGTGAGTGCCACCAAAATGGATTCCTCCAATTTGGCCATGGTTTTCGCACCCAATTGCTTGCGCTGTACCTCGGATGATCCGAAAGTTATATTGGAAAATGCACGAAAAGAAATGTCATTTATGCGCACATTAATCCAACATATGGATACAACGCATGTAGCCAATTTGGTGTAAATAAGTTTAAGAAGTTATGAAAGAAAATGAAACACACACAAACAAACATATTTATTTAAACAAACAAACAAACAAACAAAAACAAAGCTAAAATTAAAACCAAAGTATTTAGATGAAAGTTTAACAAAAGAATATTAAACAAATGCAGAAATTTAAATTTAAAATAGTAAACAAGTAAATTATACTTAAAATTTAATAAAAAACTATACATTTGCTTGCTATTTTGTGAGGTTTTCAAGCTTTTAAATTTTGTTGTTTTTTTAAATTTTAAAAATTTTTTTAATTTGTATTGGCAAGGAAATGTATAGTTTTTTTAGTTCGAAACTGCTAAATTTAACTAGAATTATTAAAACAATAGTTTTGAAAAAAATAACAACAATTTCTATCTTATACATATTATACTTTTTTTAGGTGCAACCAAGTTTAAAATCAACTATAATTCCAAGATAAGGGCAATTAAACAATTTAGTAAATTCTAGCAGATTTGGTGCTAAAGTAAGCATTTTTCTTTTCTTATTTTCCCAGTAGTTTTGTAGTTTTTTTTATAACAAAAGCTTTTCTAGGGAAATGTTTCTATACCAAAAGTTTTCTGTTTTACACACCTTCTAAACCTTTTCTTTAAAAACTGTAACTTTTTCAAATATTCCAAAGAAAAACTGTTATATTTTTAAAGTAAAAACTTTTTATATATGAAAAACTGTTATACTTAAAATTTTTCCAAAAAAAAAAAAAAAAACTTTTGAACTCATTACTTTCCGAAGAAAACATGGTTATACATCAGCTTTTTGAAAGAAAAACTGTTTTACGCTAATTTCCCTAAAGAAAAAACTTTTAAACATCAACTTTTGTAAAGAATGAACCGATATACACCAAGTTTTATAAAGAAAAAACTGTTATACACTGATTTGTCTAAAGAAAAACAGTTTTTTCTGAAAAAAACTGTTACACAGAGATTTGTCTAAAAAAAATAGGCCAGTTTTACTAAAGAATTAACTATTATACACTAGGTTTTGTGATAAACACAAATTTATCTGCAAAAAACTGTTATACGCCAGTTTTCCTTAAGAAAAAACTGTTATGCTCCAGGTTTTCTAAAGAAAAAGCTGTTATGAATCAATTTATCTGACAAAAAACTATTATACCCCATTTTCTGAAGTTAAAACTCTTATACACAATTATTTCGAATGAAAAAACTGTTATACAACTATTTTTCTAAAGTAGAAACTGAAAAACCACTATTATTCTGAATAGAAACTGTTATACACAATTGTTTCTAAAGAAAAAACTGTTATACTGAAATTTTTCTGAAGAAAAATTGTTATACTCCATTTTGTACACAATTTTTTCTAAAGAAAAAACTGTTATAAAACAATTTTTCTAGAGAAATAACTGTTATAAACCAGTTTTTCTAAAAAATTCTGTTATACATCAATTAATCTAAAGAAAAAAACTATTATACTCCATTTTTCTAAAGAAAAAACTTTTAAACATCAAAGAAAAAATAGTTATACATCAATTTGTCTGAAGTTAAAACTGTTATACGGCAGTTTTTCTAAAGAATTAACTAGTATACACTAGGTTTTATGATGAACAAACTGATAAACATAACTTTATCTGGAAAAAAAACTGTTATACACCAGGTTTTCTAAAGAAAAAGCTGTTATTTATCAATTTATCTGAAGAAAGAAAACTATTATACTAAATTTTTCTGAAGTAAAAACTGTTATACACAATTTTTCCGAAATAAAAAACTGTTATACACAATTTTTCTAAAGAAAGAAGTGTTATAGACAATTTTTACGCCAGTTTTATCAATGAATAACTGTTATACAACACTTTTTCTGAAGTAAATGCAGTTATGTTCTAGTTTTTATAAAAACAAAAACTGTTGTATGGCAGGTTTTATAAGCAAAAAACTGTTATAACTCAATTTTTCTAAAAAGAGCGCTATAAAACTGTTATACAACATTTTTTCTGTACAAAAAGCTTCTATAAACATTATTTTGGAATCTCAAAATGTTACACATAAATTTCCCTAAGGAAAAAACTGTCATACACAAATGTATCTATGGAAAAAGTTGTATACTGAAAAACTGTTATACAGACATTTTCCTCAGAAAAAAAACTTATACTAAAACTTTTGTATAGAAAAAACTTTTATACGCAATATTTTCTGTAAAACATGTGTTATACTTACATTTTTCTATAGAATAATGTGTTATACTTAAATTGTTTTATAGAAAAATGTGAAATGGAAAAGTTTTATTTAAAAAACTCTGGTATAACAGTATTTATATACACTTCAACTTCTTGAAATGCGTATAAGTTTGTCATTCCGATTGTAATTTGTACAATATGTATTGAGCGAAATCGATTTAGCGATATCTTTTTTAAAAGTCACAGATATCTTCGGATCCCCAGTTTTGGGTCATTATCTCAAAAATGGATAAAAATAAAAAAAAAATCCGTTATTAAAAATTCCCAATTTTTATATTAAAAGAAAGATTTCACAAACCTCTTATATGGTAAATATAGTGTTTAGTAAAAGAACCAAGTATACGTTAAAAATATATGGGGTTATGGGGCCTTGTTACTTTTTGCTACGTCCAACAAAGTAGAGTTGACAACACTATTTTACTTTGGACATAATTTCATGCTTAACTTTAAACTAAATCCTATTTGGCTATTGTTTGCTATTGCCTTTAATAACCGATACTTATAAACAATTTTATTTATTTATAACAATTAATCTCCCTCTAACTTTATACTTCAACTTTGATATTAGGAATTTCAAATTTAATACAATTATTAAATATATTTAACAATATTTTGTTTAATACTAAAAAAAAGAAGAAAATATTAATATTATAAACAAACGATATTCACAATTTTTTATACCTTAAAAACAAAAACAAACAACAAAAGATTAATAATAGTAAATAAAACAAAAAAACTTATAAAACTTACTTTTTTTTGCCTAATTAACAAACAAAAACTCTATACATACTCGTATATAGTATTTAAACAATTTCACAATACATATATTTATATAAACAATTTTTACTATATAAAAACTTAAAACATTATAATAATTATTATATTATTGATGACAAAAAAGAAAAACAAAATAATAAAAATTTAATTATAAACTTTACACTTACTCAAAATATTTTCTCAAAACAAAAACCAAAATTATTTTTAAATTTTACTCTTAAAGATTATCTTCTAAAAGATTTCTTTTTTTTAATGAATTTTGTGTAATTATAAATTAATTTTTATTTTATAACTTTAAATCTACTATTAATGCTATATTATTATAACTATTATTTAAATTTATTATGTTTTATTTATGTTTTATTAAAATTTAATTTTTTGACTTTATAAAATATTTAATTTTTTCAATTAATAACCATAATTTCATAATTTTTAGTGAAAGAGTTAGTAAAGAACTGAAAACAACTTAA